GTATTATTAGACTATAGTATAAAAAGTATACTAAGTACTTACTAATAAGTACGTATATATAAACGCTAAAAAATAATATATAAATAATAATAAACCTTAATCTTTACTCTTCTATATTTTACGCTTATAAATAGACGTTACATAGATAAACTATAGTACTAAAGTAATTCTTAGCTAAATATTATTATAACTTTTATTAGTAGTTACCTAAGTACTCTTATAAATGTTGCGTAGTACTTACTATTAAAACTATACTACTATCTTAGTATTAATAGTAGAAAAGCACGTAAAATAGAATACATATCTTACACTATATGTGTTAAGATAAGAGGCACTTTATACTACTACCTTAATAACTAATTACAGAACGAGTGGAAGGTATAGAAGGATGCTACTTGAAGGCACCAGTGAATCGCAGACGCTCGACATCCAGCGCGCACATTGCGCAAATATTGTCAGCGAATGTATTCGCCGAGCGAACTTCGCCAGCTCTTTTCTCGCCAGATCCTCAAACAGCCTCTTCACACAACGATGCTACGCAGCCCTCGCTTCAATCTGAACGACGACACAGCACTGCTTCATCGTCAAGCATGCCTGTCGTCCCATCTGTGGGTCCACCACGCAAGTCAGCTCTGAAAACCCCATTCGCTGCCACTATGCCAATGAGCTGTTCCATCACCCGCAATGCGCCGTTCAGCACAGCTTGGCCAACATCTCGAACAGGTATCGGCGGAACTATGGCATCGACACCGATGACATCACCAGTCCCAGACATCGCTTCCACGTATTTGATCCCAGCTCGCACGCGTAGCCTCGCAGCTACGAGGCAGCAAGACCAGGCCACAAGTTCGCTCAGAACGCCTTCACACTCGCGCAACGTGAGTGGAAGCAGTATCCGTACCGTGATCCGTTCCTGAAAACCTGGCGAGGGGTAAGGGTAGATAGCTAGGTATGGATAACGTTTGGAGGGTGGGAGGTATTAGTATATGCAGAGCTAAAACATCGATATCTGGTCCTGGTGGTTACGCATGGTCTTGTTATGGCCCCTCAGTCTAGAGTTCATGGAGCCATCAGCTTCAAACTAGGTACTGCTGAAAAATTATGGTAATTACGTTAAGAACGTGGATCTCGTTGCACATCACACACTGTATCGTGTATTCTCCATTGCCGGCGTGATGGCTGCTTCATTCGCCGCGCCGAGTGGAGCCATGTCGAATGAGGAAATGATCCGCGTGTCTCACGCGTTGCGCCTCAACGCGCTTGCGCTGCACATCTGCGCAACTGCATTCTCGAGTAAAGTCCATTCATATCCTCTTGCTCTTATTGAAATCACACGTCCGATGACGTTTTGCAGATGGAGGTACTACCTTGCCCCATGAGGAACAGCAAGGCCGATGAGCTTCACATGGGGTCGAGAGCCATGTGGAGTGTCACTAGTCATTGTGCAGAGCACCCATGGTGAACTATACATTTCTACTCAGGATCGTTGAGCTAATATAGATCAGATGATATTCTTAGGTTCTTCTCGGCTATATCACTCGTCAACGCTACCAGAGGATGTGGCCACCGGTTTTCCCTTCAACCCGACTTCAGCGATCGACCGGACACATCCAGGACGATAGGGGATACGTTCATGTCATGAAAAGTAGCGCAGTCCGCGCAGCAAGATGTGGAAATTGTTCTTGCTAAGAGCCCAGTTTGAGGGTGCTTTCCCCGACCACCGCGTCGTGCATGTAACGGGCGCCACGTTCCCAACTCACCACGGACTCAACAAATATTTTAAAGACTGACCATATGCACTTCCCGTTTCCATTACTTGGGTAAATTCTCCGCATTGTCGCACCGTGCGTCACCCTCGTTTCCTTATCCCGAGTCTGCTCAATATGACTTTGGTACCAAACGGCTGCGCCAACTTCCACGTTCACTTTCACTTTGACTACAACGCTCAATCTAGGACGTCTTAGCTCAGCTAGCGTGACGTGAAATTAATTGTGTATCCGCTCGCTAGGCTGCTCTACCTTTCGTTCCCTTCTGTGCTCCTACTCCACTGTTGCGACAATACCCAGCAACGCACGTCAGCACATCAGCTTCCCACTTTACCTAAACATCTCGGCATCTTTCAACATGGCTCGTGTCAAAGTAGCACCAAAGAAGGCGTATGAAGAGCCTCGTATCGACTCAGGCGCAGCGCTCTCAGACCCTGCCGTACCCTCCGATGGACCCGCGCCGAATGGGTAAGCGTGTGTTCACAAGATACCAGACAGACCAAGCTAAGAATATCAATAGCACTCTCGTAATGCCCATCCTCCTAAAGACGGATTGGGACCTCGGTACTCCCAAGGCTCGCCTCCGTAGAAATGATCTCCAGCTGCGCCAACCGAAGGGCTTTCCCATTAAACCACTCAAGATCACACTCGACCGCGCTCGCAAAGAGGCAGCAATGAAGGCTCTAGCTAAGGATTGTGTCGATTCAGACTTTGAAGCCTACGAGGAGTTTGAAAAGGTTGGCGAGGTCAAGAAACAAATCGAGGTTGAAGGGAAAGATGATGATGAGGAAGCGGAAGATACAGCAGATGAAGAATTAGAGGGTTCCGTGTACGACAGTGCGGACGGCAGCGCGAATGACAGCGACGATTCCTACGAGCTTCCAGCTACCAGAGTTGTCACCGAGAAGTCTGCTGCGCTTGTCGACAGTCGCGGACGGACTCGAGCAGCTACAAATCGACGCAAGGCTCAAGAGGTATCTGATGCCACCTGTCAGACGAGCGTCTAAAATGAGATGGGGAGAACGCGACAGTGGACGAGAAGGAGCGCATACGAAATGATAAGCGGGCGATGAAGAAGTCAATTTGAGGCTCGAAGTCGCGTCTTGGGAAGTTCGCTGCATTGCGCGGCAGAACACGCATGTAGGCGATGTGGCTCGGATGTATCTCGGCATGTAAGCACTGGCGGACATCTTGGATGGGCTCGGCATCTTAGTAACCAATGATGTTACAGCAGGAGCAATTACCATGTCAATGTGTCTTTAGTATTGTGCGATCTGTCAAAGCATTCACTGGAATGCAATGATGAGTGTGCCTTGCAAACGCCCTGCTTGGCGCGAATAGGCCGAAATCCGGCATCAAACGCTAACCGAATGCGGATCTCAAGCTTCGCAACCACGTGTGAGCGCGTATGCGAAACCCTGGGAGAGTCCGCTGCAGCCCCTCCATTACCCACACAGCTGCCTCCCCCAACTACTTGACGAGTGCTTCGCACCCCTTCCCGCTGTTGTCTCTTACTCACTTTTAAGCCCAACCCCACCATTCCGCCAACAACCCGTGGACACTTCAAGACCATTGCGATAGGAGCGGACGGTAGCTGTATCAGCGCGCTATCTTCTGCTTCTGTCAAAATGACCGCCGAAGCCCAGAAACTGCTTCTAAAAGAATGGGCCAAGGACACCGATCATCTCGTTGATGACAACAATTCACCCAAAGCCGAGTTCGCGCGCCTGGCAAAGGCAAAGGGATGGACCGGCGGGGATACCGAATGGTGTTATCACTGGAAAGCGTGTTTTGATGAGACATACACATGGGGAGTTCGTCGTAAGTTCAGCTCGCTCCGCTTGATGCGTCTTTGATGATGCGAGGAAGTTGGAAAGGCGGTGTCGAGGAAACCATTACTAATGCATGGCATCAGATAAGTCAACAACAGCCGATACGACTGTTCACAAGAACGTGACTGCTCAAGCTGGTGGAATCGATCTCACGGACCGCATGCGAAGTCTCTCTATTGGTTCCGATACCTCGTCTTTCTCGGTCATCTCACGTACGTCGGCGAATTCTTTCGAAAGTGTGAGGTCGATCAACAGCGACCAGTCACACGAAGCTGAAGGATTTTCCACCAGTCCAAAACATCCACCGAACACAGAAGTCTCGGATAGCACCGACTTACAAAACAGTGTACTATCTCTTGATACGGTCAAGTCCCTGGAGGAGATCTCTGGGGGCGTTGAGATCCCGGACACGGCTTCAGAACACAGCGATGCTGAGTCAGAGGCTTCATCGCTAGAGTTGGACGAAAACCCAGCGTGGAGTGAATACACCAACTTCGTGCACCGCCCAGATGCGTCCTTTCAGTCAGAGTTCGAACGTCTAGCTCGCACCAAAGGTTGGGTGGGACGTATCAAACGCCAGCACCTAGTCGAGCTGCTCACTAGCGAGGTTGAGTTCTACTGGGGTGCGGACGACGTTGACAAGCTTGAATACTACCAGTTCCTATGTCAGGAGATGGGCGTCAAGCAGATCCCTTTGACTATTACCCAGGCGAAGAACGTAAGCACATCATCTATGAGCCCACACAAAAGTACGCCGCTGACAATATATAGGCGCTTCGGCCTCTCAAAGTCAACCTTTACAGCGTTATCGACCACATGCGCAATCCCGAGATCAAGGTCATCACATACAAGACTATCCGCGAGCTTCGCCAAAGCGTCCGCAAGAAGGGCACCTTTCCGAGGCAATGTGCTAAGGCTGGTGAAGGCTGCATGGCCGCTTTGCTGTCCAAGTTGTAGTTGCATTGATCTATCTGGATTTCCAAGGGTAATCAGACATGCGTGTGGCTTCTCACATCTAGGCATTTCATGGTACATCTGATTCTGGGAACAAGATGGTGCTCGCGATGGTATGCAGCCTCTCGTTGGAGTGACGACCAAACGTCATAAACTCTGCACATGGCTACCGTTCTCGTCCAATCAATCGGAATAATTTTGAAAATTCATCTCGTTCTGCAGTGACAAAACGTTGTGTGTAGAAGCTTCTCGCATTTCTATCATGCCAATCACGTGCCTTCACCGTTCACCGATCTTGAGGTGTCGCTCAATCTTCACCGCTCACGCACTCTGTTAGTACGCTTTTGGTAGATATCTTGCCCTTCTTTTTGGTCCACCTCTTTGACTTCCTCTAAGTCACGACACACCCCGCAGCCGCCAGCGCAAGTGACTACGACAGCAACTCACCATGGCTTCGAAAGTAATCGCTTCAGATGCCCAGAAGTCGCTGTTTCGCAACTGGGCGCAGGACAGCGTCTTCATACTCGATACCCACGATTCTACCAAGCGCCAATTCTGTCTTCTAGCCAAGATGATGGGTTGGGTCGGCGGAGAAGAGACGTGGAATGACCACTGGCATGAGTGCTTCGGCGAGGTCTACATCTGGCGCGCTTTCGGTGAGTAGACAGTGTTTGACTTTACAACAAAACTGACAGATCCCAGATTCTCTGTCAACTTCCCATGAGGCAGATGCCAATGCTGTCCCCGATGATGCTACTGGTACTTCGGTGTCAAATGCTACGCCCACTCCAAGCGACAGTGGCGGCGTTCGTGCGAGCGACATCTGGTATCAGTTTGAGGGCTTCTTCCCCGACCATACGGCAAGTTTCAACAATGAGTTCTGGAGATTGTGCAAACACATGCGCTGGAGTCGTGAAGAGCGCCGCGAGGCCAGGATTGAGATCTTCGATGCCGATTGGGAAGCCCACATGGGCAGCGACCTGGGTAGCCTGGCTCGTTGGCAAGACTTCTGTCGCCTTTGCAGCCTCGATATAATCCCAGATAGTATTCCTGGCTGCATGGAAGTATGTTACTCTCCTCTTTGTCATGACACTCAGTTACTGACACGTATTCAGGTACTTGCGGAGGTTTTGGTCAACATCTACGATCTCCTTGACTCGCAGCGAACAGGCTCTGACGTGTTTGTCTTCCAAGATTTCAAGGAGTTCAGGAAATACACCTTAAATGGTCGCAGATATCCCCTTGACGAAGCGAAGGGAGACACATTCTTGCCCATCTTTCTCAAGGAAGTACTCTGAAGGCACAGGCATCAAGATGATTCGCTGCGGCCAGGCGAGAGTACCTAGCTCGTCACGCTGAAGTCTTATCATGGTTTGATCTACCCTTGACTTCGTACAAGAGAGATCGGAGGCTTTGTTACTTCAAGCGGTATTCTGAAGGGTCTCATCTACCTATGGAAGATTGTGCTATGCCGGATAATGTTCAGGGATCTTTCTTCCTAGGTAGAATTCAGTAGCTCTTCACGTTAACCCAGGGCTTCTATTTACTCTCTCTCCCTGCTATGCATATGCATACATGCGGCACAGTTGCTCCACCGTGCAGCAGGCACTCAATGCGATCGAGGCTCATTCGATGTTCAAACCCCAAAGCCACCACCCACATCATTGGAGCCTATGCAACTATGCCTGTAGAGAATACTGGCAGAATGTTCCAGCTCGTTGCCGACGTGGCGCCAGGGATCTCGGGTCTTCCACGTCCTCAATGGTCCGATTGTCTGCTCATCTCGGTTTGCTGCAGCTTCCCATATGCACCCACGTATCGATTTAAGGAGTCCTGGGTTATTTCCACCACCCTAGAACCTCACTTACCTTCCTAGACTATCCGCCATGTCCGGTCATCATACCGGCCGCGCCCGTGAGTAAAGTTTGTCGAAATCTTATGCTACACACTCTAACTGACCTGTTTAGACACCGCAGCCTCTGCTGCGAACCCAAACAGTTCAACTGCCCAGGATACAAGTCAGGCTGCCGTGTGGTTCCTGAAGTTTGCACTCTTCGCATGCGACACAAGCGCCAGCACCAGGAGTAACTTCGATCGTCTCGCCTCAAAGCGCAACTGGGGTGATAAACTCCGAAGAAAGCAGTGGACCAGTTTGCAGGCAGTCTTAGCGGCGTCAAACCATGCTGACGCGGACGATAATGTTGATACCGACACCCCAAACCAGGGCGGCGCATGGTTCCAGCAGTTCGACAATTTCGTACGCGATCCAACGGTCGGAATCAGGAGCAATTTCGAGCGTCTAGCAGCACAACGCAGCTGGGGCAACAGACTGAAACAGAGGCGTTGGGCTGAATGCCAGGAGGAGGAATTCGGCTATGCATATGGAACGAATACAACAAAGCTAGAGATCTGGCAGAGGCTATGTCGTGAGGTGCACATCAGCGATCCACCAGACAGTATAACACAGTGTAGACAGGTAAGGAGAGTTGCAAGCGATGCAAAGTCTGCTGCTAACCGTGATGAGGTGCTTGGCAGCCGGAACGTCCTGGTGAATTTGATCAACCTTATTGACCATCGTAACATCGGTGTGGAGGTGATCCGATTCAAAAGCTACTCCAAGTTCCGAGCGTACACCACATTGCCGGGCAATATGTTTCCGCTGAAGAAGGCCAAGGAAGATGGCTTCATCAGGGCGTTGTTAAGGAAGTTGTGATCGAGGCCGGAGGAATCCGCGTGGGCCGTAATTGCACTTGCAAACAGAAGCAATATCAGGGGTTACAACACCAGATCCGTGCAACGGGAAAATAGGACTAAAAGATAGTTGCTTATTTGTATGAGTCAGCCGCCGCTTGGCGACACGTAAACATTGTATTTACACTTTCCAGCCGTTTCTTTTCTTGGTGTGCACAACAGTCCCAACGTCGCTCTTGGTTAGTGTAGCGCGTACTCCGGAAACCACCTGGGCACTATTGGCGACTGCCGCAGTTCCGCGCACTACTGACCCTGCAAGATGGTTCGCGGAAGTCGCGCTAGTGAGTAGCGTACATAAACAAGCAATAGCGATATGCTCACATTGAACAGAGGGAGGCGTCTCTATTGTATCTGAAGCTGTAGCAACTGCCTCTGCTTCCTCGAGCGACCGTAGCACTCCTCCTCCAAGCGACGACGGTTCCTCTGATGAAGTTCGTGACTACTTCTCGCAAGAGAAGTTTAATGGATTTGTCCCAGATCCCGAGGACGATCTCATAGCGAAACTCAGCAAGCTTTCGATCCACCAAGGTTGGTCCAAGAACGAAGCGAAGCGTCGTCGCGCGGAGGTTGTTGAGTTCGAGGTGTCTCGACACTACGGCCGTGACAAGTCGAAACTGGAAAACTGGCAGAAGCTGTGTCGTGATGTCAAGATCGAGCCTACGCCGCCTTCTATAACACAGTGCAAAAAGGTTACACTTTTTTTCCCGGTCGCATAGCTCTGCTGACGTATCCTCGTAGGCTCTTTCACGCGTCTATGTCAACATCTTCAACATCCTGGACCATCTAGACAACCCCGAGCGCTACGATGTCATTGTCTTCAAGAACTACAAGCTCTTCCGTGCATATACGCTGAAGAGCCGCATCTTCCCTCTGGATCTGGCTAAGGAGGACGGCTTTGTCAAGGCTCTGCTTCGCCCCCTCTACATGAAGAGGAAGTAGTAGCAGCATTGGCGCTTCAGGAAACTGGGATGCAATGGGTATTTGGATTGTTGGATGGAGTTCTTGGTGGCCTTGTAATGCTTCTTTCTTGACTCGTTTTCGTCTGGGTGGCGTGAGTGGGGATGTAAGCAAAGGCGCGGCTATCCGGCTGCGAGGGCGCAGGTGACCTGGACACCATCCTTGATGGGATTGCACGTCCACGCAGTAGTTAGAGTCGCTGATCTAAACGATGTTGGTGTAATATGTTTGGAGACGCATGTGAAGTCAGGACTAGTAGGCGAGATGTTCGGAGGCCTTGCCCGTCACAGCCGTAGTGCAGCTTAGCGAGGCCTAAACAAAGCTCACCCCGTGGTATCCCCCGCTCTGCACAACTCACCCGTATCGTCGATCTGCTGGTATATCCCTCAAGGCAAACAACCTTCACCATGCGCTGCCGGTCGCGCTTACCCCAGGCGGCGAAGGCAATGTGGCCTTGCGCGCCCCTCCATCCCCCGTAGAAGCTGCAACGAACAACTCAGCAACCCTCGCGACCAAACACGAATCCCAACGCATACGATGCAGCAGGAGAATGAGCGCATGAAGCTCAAAGATGGCCGCACCCTCTCCTACGCCATCTACGGCAGCCCGATGCCACAGAAGACGATAGTCTTCATGCATGGCTGCCAATCCTCGCGCTACGAAGGCAAGCTATGGCACTCGGCCTGCGCCCTACACAACGTCCGCATCATCGCGCCCGACCGTCCTGGCAGCGGCCAGTCGACCTTCCAGATCAATCGTCGCATCCTCGACTGGCCTACCGACGTGCTCGCCCTGGCAGATCACCTCAAGATCCACAACTTCTACGTACTGGGCGTATCGGGAGGCGCGCCCTATGCACTGGCTTGCGTCAAGGAGGTGTCGAGGGACCGTCTGCTGGGAGCCAGCATCGTCAGCGGTCTCTATCCAGTCAAGTTCGGCACAGCTGGCATGTTGCTGCCTTCGCGCATCGTCCTCTGGGCAGCGCCGTGGGTCAACGGGCTGACCACCACGCTGTTCGAGAGCACCATCGGTAAGCCAAGTCGCGATGACGACCCGAAAGTCCTCGAGGACATCATTGCCAAGGAGATCCGGAGCCGTCACCCCGCCGACCAAGAAGCTATCCACGACACCACCAACTGGCCCATCTACGTAGCCATGACTAGAGAATCGTTCCACCAGGGAAGCGAAGGCGCAAGCTGGGAAGCCAAATTGAGCGGCAGCGACTGGGGCTTTGAGCTTGGACATCTATACGTTGGAGAGAATGGAGTACCGCTTACCTTGTGGCATGGTCAGGACGACCAGAACTGTCCCGTCGCCATGGCTCACAAGGCCAGAGACCTGTTGTCCGGAAGCGTATTGCACTTGAAGGGTGGTGAAGGTCCCATGAGCTATATACACCGGAATGCTGACAACATCCTGGACGATCTCATGGACGAGGCGGAGAGCGAGGAGTACATGATGGTCGGTGCTGCCTAACTGCGCTGGTAGATACGATGCTGGCTCTGGACTTGGTTTCTTCTTAAGTTCGCCCAACCAGGCTTTGGTCCACATGTCGGAACCACCATCAAACCCATAGTCAACAGATCACCACTTCACATTTGATTTTCGATGACCAGCTCAAGTAATTGAGATTGCGTGATAATCGTGCGTTTGAAATTAAGGTACTATGCGCCACGCGTGCAGCGCGGTCTAGATGGTATCCAGCGAATGTAGTAAGAATGGTATCATGCAGTAAGAAAAAGATCCAAAACCCATCAGTCGTAAGAAATAGCCCGTCCATCTGCTGACGCCTTATAGTTTGCTGAAATTCCTCGTGATCATGACGACGACACCCGCGACAATCTTGAACGCTATCTTTAGTATGAACACCACGGCCTTGAATGCAAACGTCAACACCGTTATGACTGTGCGTGCGACGAGCGGTAGTTTGCTTTCGTCATCAGCACTGGCTTTCTTCGCCTTCTTCTCCGATTTTGTGGCTTTCGCTTTCGTGTGTTTGTCCTGTCCGTACCACTCGCCCAACTCAATGTCCTTGTCGAAACTTCCCATCGCACTATCGCTACGAGTTGTTGTACTCTTCAGGCTAGAAGCAAACTTCTTCAGTCCTTTACCCGAGAGTGGCGGGCGCGACTTCCCACCGATGCCCTGGAAGCCCTCGACAAAAGAGTCTTTGAAGGCTTTTGCTGTGTCTTCCTTCTGGTGGTTCAGGGTGAAGCTTGGTGGTGGTGGCTCGAAGTTTTCTTGGCTTCGATTGCGTGTTTTGCGGCCGCGTGTAGCTTCCGCTACTGCGACTGCCAGAAGCGTTGATGTAAGAACATCAACCAAGAAGGGATTGCCAAAACGTGTCAGGGCACCAAGGTTGAGAATGAGAGCGTCGTTTGCGAAGTCAAGACGTGCGAGCGTGGCATCATCGGCAGTAGCGTCGGTGGTCGTAGGAAGTTGGCCGACAGACATCTCAGAAGGTGTCATAGATACTGGTCTCGTGCCATCGAATCGCGGAGGTGGTGGTAGCGGAGAGAACGCATTTGTCCGAGGGGTCGTTGGAGAGAGAACGTATGGATTCAGCACAGTAATGCAGGCTGGCTTGCGT